CATCGACGTCGGCGTCAACGAGGACCAATCAAAGCCGGCCTGTGGGTCCCGGTGAGTTCGCCGGTCGGTGCCAAGGCCTAAATCACTGACCGGCGCCCTGGAGACTGAAGCAGACGCTGGCAACTGGGAGGCCGGAGTGAAGCGGTACGTCGGGTGAAAAGGCCGGTTCGTGGATGATCGGTTAGTCTTCGAGTGGGTCTTACAAAATTGTCGGCCGACTTGCGTTGTGGTCACCGCGCCGACGCGAAGAGGAGGTCAGGCGACATGTGAAAAGAGGGACTTGATGTCTGAAGTGTAGGTCTGCGTGAACCGGTCTTCTGCATGCTCGTGCACGAGGCAAGAATGGGTGCGAAACGACAGCGCCTTGCATCTGGTGGGAGCAGACGAGCACTGGTTTGATTGGTTTCACAGACGGCCAAAGGGCACAAGAGCCAAGAGAGAATGACCCAAGCGAGATGTACCAGTGACGAGCGGACATGACAAAGCGACGCACAAACGTACAGATGGGCAGAAAAGCCCATCTCCACGCCAAAGTGGGGAGCAGACGAGACGTCGGGCGAACGGAGAGTGTGGCGGCCGTTTTCAGACGAGACGGACGGACGGACGGACGACACGTCAACTGGCCGAGTGTGAACGGCCCCAGTCAACAGCTGAAAAAGCCATCACCGTCCTGCCCACTCCACAGGCAGTGCCTCGCCCTCCTCGTCTTCACAAGCTCCGCTCCCGCTCCTCTGCCTGCTTTCACACCCTGCCCCCACCCCAGTCCCACCCTCTGGCGGCCGACAAATCGCCCACTTGACGCCCGCCACTGCCCACTCTTCAGTCTGGCGCCGGGCGCCACACGACCGGAAGACCAAACACACGCACATTTTTCGCACACAACCATCGCCTCACTGATTATGACCCATTCAGAGCCCAGTCGTCCGAGGAGTCGGTCTCGGTGAGTTTACGGCCAGTCAGAGCTTCTCCACGAACGACAACATCGGCCAGACTCGCGCTTCACTGAACGTTGCACCGAGACGTGTCAAATGATCGCCACCCACCCGCTGGCCCACACACACATTATGACTTAATGCTATGCATTACATTCATTTATTCATTTGTTTCATTATTCATTCACTTACCTAGTCACTATTATTCTCACCACTTTTTCCCATTTTCATTTGCATATTTATTTATTATTAGCTATTAATTCTATCGCTTACAGTTAGCTTTAAGCATTTATTTATATTTACCTATTCACTTGGGTATTTAATGTTTAAAGTCAACAAAAAGTCGTCTCATTATGCATTTATTTATTCATTATCTTTTAATTATTTAGTTGATTAGTTTCTTCTCTTTATCGCACCAATTCTGTCTACTCCTATTTCGGGATTATTTATAATTTTATTCAATGCAGTGTATCGAGAAATGGAAATAATAGTCTAAAAAATCGCTATGGTATGCCCGGCAGAATGAGCGGAGACAGTTTGGTTTGAGGACCAAACGGTTCCATGTCTCCTATTAACATTCCGATAGGGCGACGATTTTTTGACGACAGCGATTTCACTCGGTCGCATGAACGTCTGCCCATGCGCAGCAGAGCCGATGCTATCGCCGCAGCAACGCCCGGGCAATCCCATCTGCCTGATTCTGCCAGCCCACCCGTTTCCAGGCCTGATTTGTGGGATTCTTGGTCACCGGTCGACTCATTTCGTCTCCTCCCGCTCTTTCTGGCTGGTCTTTCGCTAACGGGCTGCAGGCGAGCGTCCCGCAGACGAGTCATGACTCGCTGCCGCGAGTGTACCAGCGCGAAGGGGCTCCCCGCCTCTGGTCCACGAGACAAGCACAGGCGCCTCGAAGAGACACGTCTTTGCAACCCAGAAGCCCAGTTCTCCCGGTCATGCCGCAAGGTCGACAATCTGGCCTTTCGGCCACTCTCGTTGGCCGTCCACCACCCCTCTCGCCTCGTTTCAATGCCCCATCCTTGCGCCAACAACCACTCACCACCCGAGCCAGCCTCGTTTCGGTGCTCCTTTCAGCCTCGCTTGGATGCCTCTGTCTCTTCTCTCCCCGTCTCCCCTGTCTTCTGCCCCCAGTCGCTGGGGCGTAGCTGGCCGGGCCAAGTCGTGGACTGGTCGTCCAGAGCGAACAAGAAGACTTGCCGTATGGACGGCCCTGCCATCAGGGCAGAAGGCGTGAAAGAGGTGCTACCCTTAAGGCAGCCAAACTGATCTGATAAGAGACAATTCGCCTGAAAAATGCACACATTTAAGTCTAACATGGGACCCCTGTCTTTGACACAGGCCTCCTCTCAACCATCCCGACAACAAAGCACTCGTGCAAACAGCTTTTCCCGAACCGTAAGCTATTCAAATTGTTAGTTAAGGGGCCAAACGTTCCTCATAAATTTATCGTCCTATCAGCTTGTCTACGGAGGATTTTGAGGCCAAATTGATTGATCACACCCTCAGAGAAACTGTATTCTCGTCCTCGTCAGTTTTAGCAGCACTTTGATCATTTCGAAAGACCACATCTCCTGACTACAATTGGCATTACAACCAACGCTTTTGAATCGTTCTCTCCTGAGTGTTTCTCGTTGGCATGACGACTTCTATGAACGCATGCCTTGCCCTGTTGTCTGTCATTATTTTCCTGCCTTTTTATGGCCTTAGATTATCGACTAAATGCATTCCCAGAAGTCGCCCCAGTTAGCATAGCAAAGCTTACCAACAAACCGCCAGCCAGCAGGACAAGCCAAGACGGATTAGACTATCTCAAGCATTGAACTCCTAGGTTATGCTCACAACCGAGTGTACTGAAGATACGCTGATTCAAATGGCAGGATACAACATAATCCCGATTTTGGACCGATTATAAATTTTATAACACAGTCAAGGGAATAACTTAAGTGTGGAGGAAAATGTTGATTAATTTGAGTAAAACAGTATGAAGTAAAGATCCATGCATGAGGGGCCCACCACAAACCGAAAGGATATATTCATCGAACTCAGTTGCCATTTACTTTTGACCGAGGCAACCCTTTTTGGTTTCGGTGAAAAAATGACGAACTTTCACATCCCACAGCTTGACAGAAATGATCGGAGCTCGGACCTATTTCAACGATTCAAGAAATTTGGGGTAATTAAGGTTTCAGAGCTTAAGATAGATCCCAAGTTATTTCCTATTTAATAGGAGTTGTGGATATATTAAAAAATATATAGAGGGCAATCGTTCCCACCTAAGGGGTCCTATGCTCTTAATAGGACCAACTTCACTTGAATCTGCTGTGGAGATTTGGCTTTATTAGGACGATGAAATGACAATACTCTCCGTACGAAAAGCATTAGTTTGGGGCAAGTAGTTCTGAATATTCTAGACTTCTGACGTTTTAGCTACTCATGCATTACTTTTAGATTATACCAGTCTAGCTATGAGACTGGAGAAATGCTAATGTGGGAAACAGCGGCGCTCACCTGCACAAACTGCAGTTCTTACCTATTCCAACCATTCATAGCCTGGTTGGTCTTTAAGGCCTTAGTCTGCACCGGATATTATCCTCTTTTCAAAGTATTCAGATGCATCACTAATAGTATAATTCCTGTGCCATGGGCAAACAAAAATCAGTCACAATTACGATAAGAAACATGGAAATCGGCCGGTCAAAACTTCGTGGATTCATCTTTATAGAGTATATGTAACAATCCTGTAGACTGTTAGCTTTGAGTTAGTATAAGAGACCGTGCCTTGAAGTTGTCTGTCATGACGAGGTTAAGTCCAGCTTATTTCCACTGTGATCCAAGGAGGCTGTCTCGAGCCCCGATGTTAAAGTAAATTCGAATAGGATTAGGAAACTAGGAACTGCCCATAACCTTATGGTACCTGCAAAGCTTCTCATCAAAACTTCGAACCAAACAAGATCTAATGGCCTCAGCGAAAGTTATTCTGAGCCTTGAAAGAGGCCCCCCAACATATTGTGTTGGTGTAAAAACTAGTAAAGATTACTTAGCCAGAGTTGTGAGCTCGAAGATCAGTGTAGAATATAGGTCAGAAAACAGAATACCAAATAAAAATGAAAATTTGCATTTAAGAAACAGCGCAAAGTATGCACTCAAAAAATAGATGAAATATTAAATCGATGACTGTCGTAGCACGAATTGAATTGTCGAGATGACTGAAATCAACGAAGTTCTTGAGGTAAAATATAAATTCAAAATAAATAGCAGGATAGACGATGCAGATGTTAAAAAAGTAGCATCCCAACATGCTAGCAAATAATATAAAGGTTGATTCATAAATGTGTGAGCTCAGCGGTTGCACTAAATGCCTTAAGTTCTCTGTATTTCATGTAATTCTGCACGGAGCAAGTGAGAACTACAAGGAAAAATATAGCATTTATAGCGCCCATTGATACTTCCTCTTTAAAATAGTTGGGCTTAATAAATGACTTTAAATAACCAAATTCTGACGTATCTCCGTAGATACAATCATATCTTCCTGTGTCATTCAAATTAATATCTTTAAAGACTAATTTTCCGTTGAAATTTTCGAA